AGTAACCTAGGCAGGCCCTCCTCCTTTTCATTTTTAAAAGGCAGCTCCAGGAGAGCCAGAATCAGTTCTTACAATCTCTGCTCAATGAATCTGTCTGCTTTGGATTATGCATTCCAGAAATAAGGAATGGTGCACTTCCAGACATTTAGCAGCTCTTGACATTCATAAATTGACCTGAATGTAGCAATACCTTTTAATTAACATTTGTAAAATATCATTTTCATCTTTCCAGGTAAATCAATCCCTTTACCTGTCATTTAATCAATTGCCGTTTAGAAAGCTTTTACATTTATCAGCATCATTCTGACATGCAGTTGCCAAGACCTTTTGCAGTTACCTAGGCTGGTTTCCCAATGACCCCACATACAGGTAGCACACTCCACCTTACTTTCACCTCGCTACAGTTTTATTTACATCATTCCTGAGCCTTTGCATTATCTTTACAAAGCAACGTTCTTCACAATAAATGGGAAAAAAGCCTAATATGACACTTCGCCTCTACAAGGCTTTATCTACAGAGACAGTTAGCAAGGAGCTATCTACCAGCATAATTATACCATGTGGCCAGTTTGCAACATAGCCTTTTATTTCAAAACTTGTACTTAGAGCATCATCTATATAAAAATGCAGATTTTGTTGTTAATGATGTAAAAAAGAACAAGATTTAAAAAAAGAAACACCCCACAACCAAAACAAACCTCCTTCAGCAACTTAGATATTTAATTTTCATACACTGGTATTCCTGTACTCTCCTTTATGATAAATCCTAGCAGCCTTCCGTTCATGCAGCTATGCCAGAGGTTCCCTAAGAGGCTAACTCAGATATATTTTACACTTACTGAATTTTCCTCATTCATAGCTTTGTTAAACCCATCTAAAGAAAGCTTATTTGTCACGATTTATTCTTTGAAAGCTTCCAAAGCTGCTTGCTGTTCACGATTCTATCATTTCTTCTGACAGAGTCTGTGGGTCACATTATCCCATCTGTTGCTTTCTTAATACACTAAGTAGAAACTGCAAAGATCACTCCTTTCCATTTTTGATAACTCTGCCATGTTTGCTTTTTCTAGTCCTCAAACACTCCCACCTCTTCTGGAGATTAAGCAGCACTACAGGTGTTTCTATGTCTAATGTCAATGATTCATGACTCTTCAGAAATAAATGTCAGTATTTTGTTCTTAGTTAAGTATACTTAACATCCTGGTTATGCTCTCTCATACTGGTACATTTATGGAGGCATTCCACTCTTCCAAGCGCACTGCCTGCTCACACCAGCTCCTAACTGCCTTTACTGCATTCTCCCTTACTCCTGAATAGACTATTTGTTTTTTCTTCATTTTTCTTCAAAATAAATTTGAAATTTGTTGATATCATGTCATTTACTATTGGACCTGCTTGCAGGTGTTCTCTGTGTAGTGTTCTCCTAGTGTTCTCCATCCCAAATGACTTCAGGGATCCTTATGTGCTTACATCAACAGCAATTTCTTCCTCTGTTCCTCATTTGTTCCCAGACTTAACAGCACCATTCTCATTTGGTTTGCACCCTGCCCCCTTGGCAAGTCATTGATAAGGAGATGGGCCCAATATTAGAACCATTCCCAAAGGATTCAGTGAGTTACACCAAGTTATGCTTTTGTCTATGAAACTTAAATGCATTTAGCTCTTACCTGGCCGGATCTGGGTAGATCGGATGTTCCCGGGACCCTGCTCCATCGTAGCGAGATAATGAAATGAGGGAAGACTCCAGCAACCTCCTAGAAAGGAAAAACAAATGACGAAGTCAAAGATCATTCAGGAACATCCCACTTATTTATGCCCTACTTTCTGAAACCTCTTAAGACTATTTCTATCATCAGTGCAGAGAATTCTGCAACAAACTGAACCACTCACTGATGGCATAAGCGTCTTCACCACATAGCTATTCCAAGTGTAATATTCTCACTGCACAGGAGAATATATGCATCGATGTACAATATATACCTCGAGTAAGAAACAAGAGTGGTCCCAAACCCGCTTCCAAGTTTCAAGAGAAACATACAGATGCTAATTCTCTTTTGGAGACAAGCCATCCCAATTTGTCAGGTCCACAAACACTAACGCTGCACTGGCCATCTGTCAAATTGTTACCTACTCAAAGATGGATACACAGGGAATGGGCCAAGGAGCATGGGACAAAGAACACAGCTCAGCATGTGGGCTCTAAGGGCACTACTGGTGTTTATTCACAGCAAGATATTTAATCTTAGTCTTAAGGCTCAGAAAGAGTGGTTTTCAGCTACAAAAAAATGTTCATGTCTTCTGTATCTTAATCGGCCACAGGGAGAGATACCAAATATTCACTCAAGAAGTAAATGTATGCAAATGCAGCCAGACAGCTTGAATATGCAAGAAGCGAGTCTGAGTCATGAAGGCAGCAGAATCAAAAGAATATAGCAGGAACATGTCCTCCACCCTGGCTTCTACATGCACCTCTATCTAGCTTCTTGTCATAAAGCAGAGGATGGCATTGTTTCAAGACTGACTCATTCAAGCCTGTTGCAGCCATTAGATTAACAAGAGAGATGATCTGGGGCAGGTGTGAAGAGTAGAAAAATCAACTGCCAAAGTTTATATGGCTGCTGACTTCCCTTTCAAGTCTTTTTGCCTCGGAACTCCTGCTAAATTTCGTTTTCCAGTATTTGTAACTTAAATGAAAACTGTTGTAGTTTGAAAGTCAAAGAGGTCCAACACCACATCTGTTCTATTCACCCCACACACGATTGGCGAGAAAGATTTGAACCTATCAGTCTTAGCCCCACCACCCTAATTCACAGTTAGCATTTGCAATGTGGGACAGCAAGCATCAACACAGGAAGCAGGAAGAAGGACCAGATATAATCCATGCCCAACTTCCCATTTCTAGCCAGACAGAGATAGCAGAAATGCAAATGAGATGTTTTTTCCAGTAGCAGCCCCCCCATCAGGATCTCAAGACAACTTTTCACTGCCTTCCAGCAATTAAAACAAACAAAAAATACCCCTAAACCCCCCCCCTTCAATTTCACATTATAAATCTAGAATACAGAAAACAGCAAGAGATTGCTCCAGTTACTTGGAAAGGCATGTGTCAGTTCGAGAGACTCAGTACTTGCTGCAAAGCACTGGGACTCTACAGAAGGCAAGAAATCCTGTCCGCTCTGGCACGAAGTTGCTTGGCAACCATTTGTCTTATTCAAGAACAGTTATTAAATCTCTTAAACTTTGAGATGAATTAATTCCCCAGGTTATTGAGTCAAAAGCTCTAACTTTCAACAATGCTAGATATTAGGAATCCCTTGGCTCCCCAGAAAGTTATCATACTTCAATCCTGCCTTACCAAACCCTCTCTCCTGCTTCAAACATAAAAGTCAATATATGCAAAAGCGGCTAATCCAGAACAAACAGCTTTATGAGCTATACCTGAAGTCCTATACCTATGAGGTACATCTATCACCTGCATCATATATAAACTGCTTTTATTCCTTCTGGGGGTAAAGGTAGACAGATTAGAACTAGCAGAAGGGATATTCTAACTATTCAGTCAGTTGGCCCCTTTCTAAACCACTGGATCAGAGTTCAGAGACTGGGTTACTGCCACTGCAACACCAACATGTTTTTTAGAGGTCTGCTCTTCAGAGCTGCTTATGCAGAGCACTCCAAAGACAGCAGTTTGCAAGCAGCCTGGATGTGCTGAGGCTGCCACCCTACTCGACCGTCGTGCCTAATCACTGGACTTAATTAGGGAGAAAGAGGTCCCACAGGACACAGAGCCTGGCAGGGCCACAACCCTAGACACAGCAGCTGCCTCCTTACAGGTGCAAGCAACCTACACACAACGCAAGTGGCTTGTTTGACACCGTTTCCCTGCAATGCCTACAGCGTCCTGATAAGGTGCACACACAAGTAATCAAACTCATCATCCCTGTCAAAAGTCTTGGCACCTATACACTACACAAGCCAACTCTTACCCAACCTTTCAGGGTCTATCCACTAAATGACACAGCAAAATCAGAGCCACAAGGGAAGATGACCAGTCCATGCTGCATGGCCCAGCAGGCTCTGTTAGAAAGGAGTCTCCAGGTGTTGTCCAGCCATATTTCTCTTCTCACCTTTGGAAAGGCTGGCAATTGCCGGAGAAGAGCATCGACTCAGAGGGATTACCTTTGGAAAGCAGCCAGCAGCTGCACTGAAGGAAATCAAAATGTATACCAATCAGGGGGCACCAGAAGGGTGTGGAAGCAGGAGCAGGGCACACATTGTAGGAACTCGGTACAGGTCTGCCAGGAGTCCCTCTGCTTGGCTTGGGAACAGCACTTCAGGGAATCTACAGTTCCCACCTCTACACTCCATCTGATCCTTGAAATAAGGACTTGAAGAGCCTTGCTCTACCAGGTATCTGGCACCTCATACGAGAACTGGTATGTGTTACTTTAGTAAAATAAACCAACAGTTACCTGAGCCACAGGATGGCCAGGTATCTGGGTAAACAGATTTGCTATAGGCCTCACAACCCTGTGATTTTACCTGAACAACCTGCAGCTCCACCCCGTGATGCAACAGGAGCTGCTGCTGCTTTAGGAGCACCTCCTTCACCAGAAGGGCTCCCTAGGAGGACCAGCAGTTACGAGGTTTTGGGGAGCAGGGTAACAAATGCACTGCATTAAACACACTCCCCAGGACCCTTTCTGAGGCTGCGCTGTCCAAGTTGAACAGTCTCAGCTAAGACGGCCTTTCCAGCAGACCCTTCCACGACTGCTAAGACCAAACTCAGTTCCTGCACTATCTCATGCTGAGGCAGAAAAGCCACGTACTAGGGCCACATTCAGATCAAATGGACAAAGATAATTCAGTTAACAGTAACTGCTAAAAGCTATAGCTTATTTTAAGCCTGACTGGTAGTTCTTAATTGTCTTACAACTGTGCCCTCTCAGATCACAGAGCAATGAACAGGTGAATATAAATACATATAGTAGGAAAAAAAAAAAAGTGCAACATGCAATCTCATGAGATCCAGATGGACCATATCTCTGTGCTTAATGCTCCAGAGAATAACAATATCTGTACTGAAACCAGAGTACTAAACACAAATAAAATCTATTATTTAACTAACTCGTTCTAGACTGAGCCCTTGAGGCCCAAGTTACAGATCCGAACGCATTCTGTACTGATAAATGGGTTCAATAATAGATACACTGCTATAACCATCAATAAAGCGTCCCATCTGTGACACTGGTAGTGTCCCCCAGGAAGGTGCAGATAAATGTTTTTAAAGTAAGTCATGCTACACTCTATCAAATCTTAGGTGCCACATTCATAGCTTTTGTCACCCGAACTCCCAGAAGAGACACAGACTATTTGTTTTCAGTAAGCCCAAAGTGTAAGGTAGCCCAGTATCCTACCACAGTGAATGCTGAGGTTGGGAGCAGTTCTGTTAAGGAGGATAAACATAATCCATAGGTGAATAGAAGCAGCTCTGTTACAGGGAACTGCTACCCACTAAACAGCTAAGTTTCCAACAGAGAAACATGCAAAGAGAGAACAGAAATGCATATTGCTTGCATCTCCTTTTGAAATATTTCAGTAGATCATGCTTGACTCCTGAATCCTTTCTGGAGCTTACAGCACCCTCTTCCTCTCCCACACCCCTCATTTTTGCTACCCAGATATGTAACAGGCTAACACTAGGCTCTGTGGAAGCAATTGCTCCACTATCTCTGTCTAGACAATATGAAATTGTCACAAATGACATCTAAAGTACAATTAGCAGAGAAACTGCAATTTCCACTCTCCTCCCCCGCTCACCAGGAAAAAAAAAAAAAAAAAAAAAAAAAAATCACACATTATCATCCTCCAGGTTGTCAGTCAACGCCGCAATGATGAAGATTAACTGTGCTCACCCTGAGAGATGCTTCTAGCCCAGCTTGCTAAGATAGGAGGAGGGGGACTGTAGGGTTTTTTTTTTTTTTTTTTTTTTTTTATTAAAACTACTACAAGAAGATATAAATTGCCTCTGTTCAGCAGCACTGAGATCTCAGCAAACTCCTTTTCTGTCAGACATCAGCAGCTATGGAACCGTCACTCTACACTTGCTCTGTTACCTCGGGTCTGCGAACAGCAGCAATCGCTAGCAAGGGGGGAAAGGAAGCAAGTCCAAGTTACAGGACACCTTTACACAAGGGAGAGAGAAAGAGAGTGCACACACACAAGACCCTACAAGCAGAAAAGGGAAATGTCTCAGGAATGAAGCAGCTGAATGCCAGAACCTGCAGCTCGAGGGGAGAACAGTCATAAAGCAACCTCCCCACAGCACATCAGCTTAGCATCCTTAAAATCAAAAAAGGGCGTTCAGCCAGCTGCCATCTTCCTAAGCTGCTGCTGCACACTGACCACCAGTGCAAACCAGTAAAATGAAGCAAGCGCTCCTGCCTCTCCCACAGTCCCAGCCTTCAGCTACAAAGAGGGCCTAAGAGACCAATTCATCCTTATCCTTTGAAGCAGAAGCATATTGACAACTCTGGCAGCTTCTGTGAGTTTCCTCTTCTGGTTTTGTATCTTTCCTGGAAAGGCTTTTATATCCCCTACTGCCCATTTGGAGGTGAAATTACTGCAGTACTTCATATCACATCCCTTTTTCAGCCCTCCGAATTACAGCCAGCAGTCAGTTCTCCTGAACACTTGTCCCTACGGATGTGCTCCAGTGGTTCCTCATAGGAATGTAAAGAACAGCAACAGTTTA